TAGCCTCTGTGCCGGGGTCCCTATCGTTTTGGAAACATTTCGTCGATGATGTCATCTCTGCGGTTTCTACAAATGAGATCGATATTCTGCTGCAACATTTAAATTCTATTGAGCCGTCCATCCAATTCACGGTAGAACGTGAGTTAAATGGATATTTAGCTTTTTTAGATTTGAATGTACACAGAACTGTCGAAGGGAAGTTAGAGACTGATGTTTATCGCAAACCCACACACACAGACAAATATTTGTCATACGACTCTCATCACCCAGTAAGCCATAAAAGATCGGTGGCAAAAACTTTGCTTCAAAGAGCTGAATCGTTGCCGTCAAACAGTGATTCTCAAGCTAATGAACGTGAATATGTTCTAAATGTTTTAGGGGGAAACAATTACCCAAAGCGTTTTCTTAATGATTGCTTGAGGCCACGTGTTTGTAGGAACCAAACTAACTCCGAGGGTGATACCTCCGTTAAGGGTTTTGCAATAGTTCCATACATTCAAGGTGTCACAGAACCAATCAAGAGAATCTTAAGTAATTGTAATATTAAGGTTGCCTTAAAACCCTATTTGACTTTAGGCCATATTTTCGCAAAGCCAAAAGATCCTGTTGAAAAAAATCAGAAGACTCATGCTATATATTCTATACCATGCGGTGACTGCGACAAAGAGTATTTGGGTCAGTCTAAACGCCAGTTTGGTACACGGCTAAAAGAACATCAAAAGGCTGTTTCAACTTTAGACAAGGGAAAATCAGCTTTAGGCGAACATGTATGTTACACCAAACACGAGATTGCGTGGGAAAACTCTAAAGTAATTACCACAAACAATCGCTATGGTCAAAGACTTTGCCTAGAAGCGTGGCATATAAATATGAGTCATCATGCTTTGAATAGGGATGACGGCGCCTATTTGCCAGAGGAATACATGCATCTTCTTGGCAGGTGACGTCATCCCTTGGGTATTTAAGAAGCCACGATCGCAGTTTTAGATCACCCCTGATGAAGACACTAGACTGGAGTGTCGAAACGTTGGGTCTTGATTACAATTCGACTGGGCTTTGTAATCATTTATTTAAACCAGAGTAGCGAGCGAAACATGGTTCCGAAAAATGTTGACCAGTTCATTTCCTATAAACTTCGCTGAGTTCCTCTGAACAATTCCTCAACAATCAGATTGCTCAAAAATAAAATATAAAATTTGATTGGTCAATGAAACAGGAAGTTAGGAACTTTTTAAGGAACTTGAGGAATTGTTCAGATGAACTCCTCGAAGTTAGGAAATGAACTGATCAACATTTTTCGGAACGCTTCTATTGGCACGACTGTAACAGCCATTGTATTTGGACTGGAATGGAACGTGTTTTCCTCCAAAATAACAGCCATATTTTTGTCTTGTAAATGTCAAGGGATTGATTGCAAACCATGAATGAACTAAGATCATTTGTAATTATGTGTTGTTTTTGGCTGAAAAATTATTAACAGTTGGATTATTTATAGTGTAATAAGATTAATTAATATAAAATATTATTACATTTTAGGATATTACTTCATTTTAACATGGCAATTTTATATATTCTAAAATTACCGTAATCGCTCGTATTGAGCCCTCTTTAAAAAACCCTCCCACTCTTTTAAGCCTTCCTGTTTCGATAATTACCCCCTCCCTTAAAGGTGCCGGGGAAAGTAGGCCCCAGGGCGGGGGGTTATAACAGAGAATACGGTAATTTTCTTGTTATATAGATGTTGAGTTTTCCGATAGGATGAACTTATGAGAAAACTCGCTTTGCAATGCATATAAGCAAATTAGAAAGGCGAAACATTTTTCTTACCCGTGGGAAAATGTTTCGTCTAATCAAATGATACAACAATGACGTATGAGTAAATTTGTTTACGGCGGAACTTTCGCGCCTTTTGTTATGACTTTGTTTATTTTGCCTGAAGGTGAACAAAAATTATATTTTGTCGCATGAAATAAAAAACATGGATTGGTTTGGCAAAAAATATAATGTAAGGGACCGGTCATTAAAGCGGCAGTGTCACACGCTGCGCATCCGTTCTGCGCATAACAAACCGATTTTCGGAATATGTCGGAAAAGGTCGGTATCACAACATTCCGACTATAAAAATGTGCATATATTCACATTTTCAGCGGCGGAAAAGACCAAATAATTGCTTCATTTCACACAGGTTAACAATTATAGTTGTAAAAGTTCATGTGCCACCAAAAGAAACGAGAACAGTAACCGAGGTTGCCCGCGTAAGGCAAATATTAAAGAACGTTGTGTATTCTGCCAGCTGCAAGTGTGGAGAACTCGCAAAACTCCTCAGTCTCCTTGCAAGAATAGGGTATGTGTGCGAATCAAATGTACTTGGCGGTATCTTTTATTTGTGTTGGCATATTATACCACATTATATTTACTGTTTATCCTACTTTGTTGTAGGAGAACGTTTGCGAAAGTACCATGTAGTGCATGTACTTCGTGGCCTCACACAGCGTGCAACTGTCAACACTGAGAAAACGATGATATTAATACTGTAAGGTTTGTGAATTTCTAATACATCTTATTAAATTGTTTACAACGTTTTTCAAATGAGGTATATTAAACATGTTTGAAGATGCGGTACAGTCCGTATGTAAACAAAGGCTTTGTTTACATTTCAGTATCCAAAATACTGAATTTTATTGGACGACTACAGTATTTATATTTTCATGATTCTAGAGTATAATAAATTATCAAGACACAACGATCAATCTTTGCAGGAATATAAAATGAAATAAAAACCTAAATAAACTGTTTGTATAATAAAAAGAGGCCTCCTGTGAGCAGATGCACAGATCTGACTGTACTGCATCTTTAAGTTGAATAACTTTGGCTGAAACTGTTGAATGGTGATACCAGGGGCAAAACTAGCCCCTTTTAATTGGGTGGTGTCTGCTAGAATTTCCCTGCGAAAGTCGATGATGCCCTGCAGCAAAAATTTTTTTGGCCGCTATTTCTCCCAAAAATGTTGGCGAGCGGGGGAGAGGTAGAAAAATTTGGGGGGGAGGTCGGTTTCCGGACATTCAAAAAAAGGGGCGAAAACATTTTTCAGACATAAACCAATTCAATTATGCATCAAAATATTTTTTCGGACAAATTCCTGTTAAAACATGCATGAAACCCTTATTGTTTTACCAATATCTGTAAAATTTAGGTTTATAAATTCTATTTAATTCCCTCTGGAAGCCACTGAATAACTCTACATTATATAATTTAAATTTTTTCATTGCCCTGCCAATCCAGATGATTTGCCCTGCCAATCCAGATGATTTGTACTTTTGCCCCCCCTCAAGTTTCATCCCTGGGTGATACAGTATAAAGTCTAATTGGGAAGTGATGGCACAGACTGAAATTTGAAACGGGAAATAATATCGCAAAGGCAGATTGCCGACCTGTCAGGACATCATGTCATTTTGTATAATAGCTATTTAGTAAATAAAAATAACCAACCCCTTAACCTTCTAATTGAAGCTAATTGCAATGCATATGGGGCTTGTGTATGTGAACCATGTATCAGGCCATTTTGTTGTTCTCACCAAAAGCTTTGCTTTGATACCAAAGCGAGGCTTTGTGATGGAAACAATAGCATGACTTAAACCCATACAAGACCAATTATCTTGCTTTGATGCTAGAAATTGGTAAAGCTGTTGGATAGTCATTTCATTATTTTATTATAAAATACATTATTCAATTCACAGGCATTTATTCGTACACTGGATGAAGACACAGTGAGAAAACTGGCAATTAGAAGCCTAAGAAGAGGAATAAGGAGTACGGATTATGTTCACACATGGGCTCGGCATGGATATTTGGGCAAAGGGAATCGCAGTGTTTGCCCCTCTTGTGTAGTCCTCAAAATAAGACTTTTGACTGGAGTTTATATGTGGTATAGAGAACAATAATATTCATGAACCTTTGGTAAACTTTCTAAAGCAAAGGGAATTTGATTTTAATAATTTATATTCTAATTTATGTACCTATGTATATAGTAAGTAATAAAGATTTTTTATATTTTGTACAAAATTGGAATGTGTCACTGTTACATCAGTTATGGCAAAAATCAGTATTTTCGTTTTGGTATGTCCACACCGTTGCTGGTGTGATATATGTTGCTGGTGTGATATATGTGCAACAGTGGGGAGCAATGTTGCATTTAAGGAAACATGACAGATGATATAACCATCATTATGCAGTCAATCTGTTGCTCGTTTGATAACCTTTGAAATGAGAACTGGAATGTACTCGAATCCTTTTTCAACTTTCACACTTTTCACATCCCACTGCCTGGTCCTTCTGTTGTTGGAAAGGCTCATGAGTTTGTACAGGTGACTCAACACGAGAAAGGGTCTGTCATCTGACCTTTATTTTTAATGGTGTAGATGTTTGGGGTTCTGAAAGCAGGAAATATGAAATATTATACAGCACTAATACCTGTGGTCAATGCTGTAAATTATATAAATATAAACCAATTCTTTTTATAATTTTTGACACAATTTTTCTTTGTCTATATACCTTGCAAAATCGTATTTTAAAACTGAATATTAATATTACTCCCATTACAAAGCACATCCTATATAAAAGTGAATGTCCTCTTCATACCTTGGCTGATGTTTGCTTGTTCTTCAAACCATATGAGACTCATTGTGTTCTACTTCCGTTGTCAAGACAGGACTCAGTTGCCACCAGAAAGGTCCAGAATCGATGTGCTTGAATTTCGTCGTTGTTTTGGTAGTATTTTTGCAGACGCTGATTCCCCTAAATACAAAGCAAAATAAATTGCACATTAGGCTCGTTTACTCTTCGAAATATATTGAAAATCATATTGTAAACCTACCTGCGGCGAAATTCCAATGGCAACAGATGTGCAGCAAAGTTAGTGTCATTTGAATGTTCATATCCAGCACTTATTTTGGCCTCTTGCCACGTATCAAATGTCTTATCACTTAAATAGATCCTTCTGTGCTCTTTCTCCCATAAATTTCTGTATTCTTTTCGGCTCGAAAACACCTTTTTTCGACCAGCATTTTTCCTTGAACCCCCGTACTGAGTCAGCATGACGCCCCGGGAGACGCCATATTGAAATTCGATACACTTGAAAAAGTTGGGTGAACTTTTTCAAGTTGATCTATGCGCAGAACGGATGCGCAGCGGGTGACACTGCCGCTTTAATAATAGGAAGAAGGGGGGGGGGGGTTGGCAGCGGTGGATAAGAAATGGGGGGCGGCCTCAACTATTTTGCCTCAATTGGGGGCGGCCTCACACTGAAAAATATGTGACAGGGGGCAACCCCAATTTTTTAATACTGTCCTACTCATTTTTAATCTGTCTCGTCCTTATCGTATCCCACAAAATATTTCATCATTTTTAGTTCTTATAATTCGTAGTTTCCACTTTCCATAGTTATTACATATATGCAGTTCACCATAGGTGTCGGAGTAAATAACAACCATTTTGAATGCTGGTCCTCTAATTATTTAGGCCACACAATGTCTTACACCAGTATTTGGCCCATTATCTATTTTACATAAAAAAATGTAACAAATTAAATGTTGGAGTGGGGCCCCGGGCGTCCTAAGTATTCTAGATGAAGGTGGGGGCGTCTTGAAAATAAAGGTTTTGCGATCGGGGGCAGCTCTAAAAAATGTTCAATATTTGGTATTTATCAACCCCCCCCATTATTAATGACCAGTCCCTAATTATATATATATATAAATACAAATGTATAATGATATAATGACGTCATGTCATTTACTTGGCAACAAGACGATACGGTCTGAACTAATTACAGTCCTGCCAATAGAAGAGTTCCGAAAAATGTTGACCAGTTTATATTCTAACTTCGAGGAGTTCCTCTGAACATAGCCTACGAGCAGGCTCTCTGGGTGAAAGAGAGCCTGCAAGGATCCCTATGATATTTACGTGCATGCGTCCAATATTTGGACGCAGAGCTCTGATTGGTTGATAACTAATTCAAATGAAGTGATTGACAAGCTTCCATATTAAACTACACTTCCCGTTCGTAAAACCGAGCAACGCAAAGCTTCGGAATTGCGACATTGTAGAGATCAAAGTGTCATGTATTTTGCATCCTTGTTCACTTTTTACAGTAAAATAATATACGGTATACTATATATATATATATATATATATATATATATATATATATATATATATATATATATATATATATATATATATATATATATATATATATATATATATAAATATATATATATATATATATATTTAATAGATTTGAAGAAATAATCCCCGAGCCGGCGGTGCGAATCGCCGTGCGAGGGTACTAATTCCCCCCCCCCCGGCTATTTACACCCGTGGAAACGAAAGCATTAGCGAAGTCTAAAGTTCATCAATCATCGCGGGCGCTGACCAACGAACGACGATCTTGAGTGGGTGGTCATCCTCATTTATCTCAAAAATATGGCAAGCAAGATTTCAATTTTAAAAGACATATATTTGCAAAAACGTTTCATATACAACAAGCTTGAAGCAATTTTGTTTGAAGAAATGAGAAGAATTGGTTTACTATGGGAAATCGAGAAATATACGGCAAGTTTGCTTTGAATATTTTTAAAATGTTTACGAATTTTGTTGCTTTAACTTTTTACGTATTAAATAAAAAACATGAAGTATAGAAGCTCTCAGTTTCATAAATTACCGTTTAATTTGAGAAAAAATCTTAAAATGTAAAGGCGAAGAAATTGATTTGAAAACTGAACTGAAATTACCTAACAATTTTATTTTATTTGTATTAAACTTATCATGTTTTGTTAAGTAAAAACAGTTTATCGGCAAAATGTAGGTTTACTTGAATGAACATTTCAAAACATTTTACGAAGCATTTCAAGTTAAATTTTACATTAAATCAAAGCTCACAAAATGCAAAATAATATACCTACAGTATGTATTTCGGAAATTTATTGTTGTATAGTTAAAAGTACGAATCTGTCAACTATTTTGCAGTTTTGTACAAAATATATGAAAATAAAAATTTTAGAATATCGTGTTGTCATGGCAACACTTGAGCGCGAGCCTGCGTTCAGTGCTGGTCATTTCTGAATACTTCATGTTTAATGTGTGGAATATTGGCGAGGGGTTACTGCATGCATGTATTTCTAGTATACGGTATAAATAATATACGGTAGACTGTATATATATATATATATATATATATATATATATATATATATATATATATATATATATATATATATATATATATATATATATATATATATATTTCATAATTCATAATATATATGAATATATATATTATGTATATATATATTTATATATATATTATTTTCATTCAGTATATATTTCATAATTTCCAGTCTTAAATCCGTCTGACCGTGTAGCTCAGTTGCTAGAGCGTCAATCTAGTAATTTGAAGGTCGCGGGTTCAAGACCAAACCGCGGCAGACGACATCTTTCTGCTTGCGCTGGGTATGGAAATTATATAATACACATTCTAGAACATTTTCATCTTAATATATATATATATATATATATATATATATATATATATATATATATATATATATATATATATATATATATATATATATATTATTATTATTAAAAATTTTATTTCAATACGGTGGTTACATCAAAATCATTACAGTTTTGTAAATATTGTAAATTCTAAATTGAGGTAAAAACCTGTAAGCCGTATATTACAATTTACAATATATTAATTTAATTAATTAATGATCAGCGGAAAAATGGAAATTTTTTTAATAGATCTTTGAACCGCTTTAATGAACTCTCTTTTTTCAAAACTTCAGGAAGAGAGTTCCACACTTTTGCGCCGGAGTAAACAAAACTTCTCTTGTAATATTCAGTTCGAATTAGTGGAAGTTCAACATTCTCTGTTGAAGAACGAAGATCACAAAAATTAGCACCAGTTTCTGGTCTAAATAAACCTAAGAAACATGACGGTGCATTATGGTTTAATATTTTATGCATCATCACTGCTTTGCATTTTTGTCTTCGTTCACTCAACTTCTCCCATCCTAATTCGTTTAATATATCAGGCTGGACCTTCGCGAATAGTCGGCTCCAGTTATAATACGCGTCAATAATTGTCACTGATGCCATCCCAAATAATACAACAGTAATCAAAATAAGGTTCTACAATAGCTCTATATACATTCATAAGATCGTACTTTTTCAAGACTTTTCTATTTCTACGTAGCAGACTAATGCCGATCGCTACTTTTCTAAGGCCGATTTACACGACCAGTGTTTTGGGCACCCCTAAAAGTGGGCACCCGTACCTCTGCCTTTTGGCGTGTAAACGTGACAAAATCGGCACCGGTGCCGCAAAATTTAAACGTGCCGAGACTTTCTCAAGAGGTAGTCTCGGCACGTCTAACAAGCGGTGCCGTGCCCAAATTTCGAAAAAATAAAAAATGTGTTCGACATTGAGCATGCGCAAATTAAAAAAAAAACAAAGTTTGGCACGGTGCCCATTTTCAGAGGTGCCGTGTCCGAAACGTTTGTCGTGTAAACCGGCCTTTAATTACATTATCTATGTGCTCAGCCCATGTGAGAAATTCGTCTATAGTCACTCCTAAGCACTTAGTACTCTTAACTTTACGTAGAGATATATCATTAAGGGAAAGTGTCAGATCACCCACAAGTGAATTTATTCTTTGTTTTGAACCAACAACCATTTACTGTATTTAAAGTCAGTTTGTTGGCTGTAAGCCAGGATTCTAAATGTTCCAGGTCTTTTTTCATCTGCTGTTGAAGTTCAGAAAAAACACATGCTGAGAATGATACGTTAGTATCATCTGCATACATTCGGGCAGTACCATGATTAACAGAAGTCGTCAAATCATTTATATAAATAAGAAATAATAAAGGACCTAGAACTGAACCTTGGGGAACTCCACTTTTGATCTGCACTTTACCAGATAAATAACCATTAACATAACATTGTTGAGTTCTATCAGTAAAATATCAAAATATGATTTAAACCAATGCAATGTTTTATCACAGATTGCAAGAAAACTTAATTTGGTTAATAATATATTATGATCAACAGTGTCAAAAGCCTTTTTTAAATCTAAAAATAAGACACCGTTGATCATACTTCTATCAATATTGTAATACCACTGCTTAGTTAAATCCAGTAATGCAGTTACATATCTATCTATCTAGAAATGAACTATTGTCGAAATGTAGACACCGGAACAAATTCCTATTGAGCAATAAATAGATTATAAATAACACTGCGATATAACACTTTTGACCTCAAACATGTACATAGTATATCCTAGGCAACAACATAGCGCATTATTTAAATTCACCTGATGAGTGTGGCAAGACTCGTCTTGTCATACGAAACAAAGTTGTAGTGAAATAAAGTTCATATGAAGTAACTCAAGTTTGTTTTCTAAAGCGAATATACCGCTTAAAATGTTTGTACTGACAATTATAATGACATTGCGAAACTCAGTCATTAATATAATTCATAAAGAAAACACAAAAATCATGATCGTGAAGGAGTTTGTTTATCTGATACAGAATCATGCTGATTTACATAAACTTTAGGTTTAATTTTCTCATGCACCAAATGTCAATCATTTATTTTAAATTGTTGAAAAATACGAATGTTCTCATCTAGACGTTTCACAAGCTAGCTATTGATAATATTCGCGTCCGTGCATGTTCTATATCAGACATACAATCTCTCGCCTTCTGCTCGAGTTTGTATATCTGATACAACACGGCTTCTCATGCGTTACCTATACTACTTGTGAAAATCTGCATTTACTATTCATAAGGAATAGACAAAAGAAATCATGAGCGTGAAGGAGTTTGTATATCTGATAAGAATCGTGCTGATTTTCTCACTAAATATCATTAATTTATTTTCAATTGTTGAAGAATACGAATGTTCTCATCGGTTCGAGTTTGTATATCTCATGCCGGAGTCATGTTCTAAATAGTAGTTAAATGTTGCTTGTGTTCCTCTACAGGTCCAGTGTATGTGATCATTGAGTATGTTTCTCGTGGAGATCTTCTTGGTTTCTTACGTAAAACTCGCGGTTTGGTTGACACCACATACGATGTTCCAAATCACATTCCACAATCACATTTATCTCAATGTCAGTTGCTAAGGATGGCGTGTAATGTTGCTATGGGAATGGCTCATCTTTCACGTAATCAGGTATTTTAATAATAATAACAGCAGGATAACCAGCACTCCAGCAGACGATTCATATCATGGTAATGATTCTAAATGTAAATATTACCGTTTTGTATCTCGCAATTTTAAAATCTTAGTTTAAAATATCTTATTTCAATGAAATTTTCCCTTACATTCATTCTGCTTTCTGAAGGTAATTCATCGTGATCTGGCCGCAAGAAATGTTTTGGTTGGAGAAAACTTGGAATGTAAAATCACTGACTTTGGCATGGCTAGAGATGTTAAGGCGACCAACTATTATAGAAAAAGAAGTAGGGTATGTATAGAAATCATACACTGCTCACAAAAGTCATGCCCAGAAGTCTTGCTTTCATCTCTGCGGTCAATACAGGGCAGAGTGTATAAAATGAGTACATGACACAATGTGAAAATAACCACTAATTAAACTGAACCATCCAAAAATTTCAGATGCCACTTTCAATGTGGTTTCCAAAACAGTCCTTCTGCAGCCCTATTTGTTTTAGTGTTTTAGTGTTTTAGTTATTAAGTCAGAAGGCCAAATTCACATGCAGAAATATTGCGGAGTTTAATGGCCATTATTTGTCCCCTTTGAATCTCAAATACCATGTGTGTCCAACCAAGTACTTTTTATTTAATATTTTTATCTTTAGGGGCGAATTCCACTGAAATGGACTGCAATCGAAGCTCTTGTAGATGACAAATACACTATTGAAAGTGATGTGTAAGTAAATTGCGGAAGAAAAAACAATTTCCTTCTATTCGTTGTTCAAGTAGATGAGCCCTCTATGCCTATTATGGCTATAGTACTAGTATAAAATATTTGACATTCTTACAAACAGACTACCTTTACATCTTCTATTTATAGGTGGAGTTTTGGAATACTACTGTACGAAATTGTAACAATGGGTAGGTCGAGTCATATTTTTCAGGCATCTTACCATGTTACTGCCATATATTCATTCTATGAAATATATGTACTAGTGGCTATGTCTGAGTTTCAGAAAGTTCTATCTTTCAAGAAACTTTTGAAATATGTTTAACACTGCTTACAGTGAAACTTATATTTAGTTCCCTAAGTTCTGACTATAAGATTTCCTTTGTTTCAGGAGTGGCTAAAATGTATATTTTACTTTTACAATCACCTTACCGAGTAATTTGGAGCAATTTTATAACGCCACCCGGGCTTTGGCTTTCAACGAAAGCACGGCCTAATAGTGCATATCTTAATGTAAAAAACGATAAAATAATTGACGTTATCTTCAGTGATTATTGATAAAAAGTCAACTGGATGTGTAACAAGTATTCTATTTAGGTGGTAAACCTTATCCAGGCATGGGTGCAGGACAGGTGCTTCGAAAATTGAAAAGTGGTTGGCGGATGTCGAGACCAGCTCATGTTGATACTTCATTGTAAGACATTCTGGTTAATCATACAGTAGCTTTGCTGTGAATCTCGCTGCCTTCTACGGAGCTTTTTTTTTAAAATTTTATTTTCCCATGTACATTACAATTATTAATACATTATTACAAAATAACTATTTGGGCTAGAGACCTGCTAGAAACCTTTGCAGGCTTTTGTATCTAGGCCACCAGTCATGTCCTATTTAGGTTATTTTATTATTTACAGTAAATTTTTAAGATAATATTAAATGCAGAAGAAAAGTTTTATAAGGTATATACAAGATATTTACAAATTTGAGGTATGAAGGGTAAATACTGTAGTGTTTACAATATTATGAGATAAAGAGATATCCCAGTTAGATTTTTATATGGTATTATTTAGCACAATGACAATGCATGGAAATTGTCTGCATGAAGAAAGTGTGATTTCTGAATCTATGTATTTGTAACTGGATTTAGTATAAAGTGTTGCTTAATTAGTTTCTTGAAGGTATTATAGAAACTTATGTCTTTCAGATTTGTTTCTAATTTGTTCCACACATCTACTCCTTTATTTGAAAGAATGTGTTTTACATAGAGCTGACGCGCTATGGAGAATTTTCAGCCGAGGCTGCATTTCAACCCAGTTAATCGAGACGAAATTATTTCACGATTACATGGCAAGTTTCAGCCCGGGCTGAGTTAAAATCTCAGCTGACAAACCGGGGTGAAATTCCAGCTAAAGAGTATATAAATGTTGTTTATGCGAGACTGTGGTTGCATTAAAAATAGAACAGACAGGAATAAAGCCACTTATAATTGCTTGTCTTCTTCAACCAGGGCTGAAATTTCCAGTCCATTACATGACGATTTTCAGCCTGATCAACCGGGTTGAAATTTCAACCTTGAAATTTTTGTCATGTAATCGCTTGCAGTGTTTTAATACGATTTTATCCTTAGGGTCTCTTTACATGATCCCTGTTTGAAACTCATCCCGGGCTGAAAACTATCCAAATAAATTTGTAGAAACTGCAATGGTTATAATGGTGCAGAATTATATAGATTTGTTTCACTCGATCTGTTAAGGAAGCAGTGTATTTCTATTTCTTTAGATATGAAATCATGTTGAAATGTTGGTGCAGTAGCCCGGATGATCGACCGTCTTTCTCCATCCTTGCAAAAACGTTTACCGATTTTATCATTGCTAAGAGTGTAAGTATACTATATATGTGATAATTATATATGTCCCTAAGTCTTCTGCACATTTTTATGTAATACATTTATAATATACATTTTGCTCAATTTTGAAGTTGGATATTTTCATGATATTTAAATGCATAGCCTACTACAGTCCATCTGTTGAACGATTCATATTAGCACCTGTATATAGATTCCAGGCTTTCTGGCATTCTTGTCTTAAGCAAGATAAGAGTAGGACTAGAATTTAGGAAAAGTAGAAATAGTTAGCCTATACTTGTCACATTATGCAGACTATGTCGTAGTCTAGAATACAGTAGGAAAATATAAAAAGGTAGGGCAAAAGTAGGAATTTTTGGAGATGCCTATAACATAAAAATACTAGAGGGCACTCAGAGACTGCATACCTCCGCCCGTATTGAATTTCGGTTGTGTGAAATGCAACTAAGACAATAGATAATGAAGGCTGAAGCTTAATTTAATAATGAGGTTTATCATCTCATTATTGTCTTAGGGACCGATCATAAAGTAAAAGGGGCTGGGAAAATCACATATTTGGTGTCTGCACTTTTGGTAGCCCACCCCTTAATAGCTGCACGAAAATTTGTAGCCCACCCTTAAATTGGTGCTGAAAAATTATGACCCACCCCTTTTCCAATTTTTGTCCGGAAAAGAATTTTTTCGGACAATAACCTCCCCCCCGTCGACAACTTTTTTAGGTAAAAAAATTTTCCGGACAAGTACGTTGCAATTGCTTTCCAAGGACTTTATCTTAATTTTTCATACCAAATTTCGGTACTTAGCCCAAAAAAACAGATATCTTGTTCTTTGCGCGGAAATTTTGAACACAAAAAAATGACTGGGGCCCAATCTTCTGCATATTTTTACATGGCCCACCCTTATGATTGCGCTTAACTTTCGATGACCCACCCCTTCAACCGTGCTCAAAAATAGTGACCCACCCTCCTATTTTTCCCAGCCCACCCCCCTTTTACTTTATGACCGGTCCCTTAGCACTGCGTGCATACATACATGTCCTAATTACGCATTCAGTGAGTTTTTTTTTAATTGACCGGGAAAAGCAAGACAAAATTTTGTTCATTTCTCGTTCAATTTTTAACCAAATTCAACCAAATTTAATCAGTTCTTCCTTAGCCGATGGGAAATGCATTCAAAAAATTTCGTATGAATATGTTTGGTATTTCTTGAGTTATCGTGCCCACATGCAGACAAACACACACACACACGCACGCACACACACACACACACACACACGCACGCACATACAC